GCACACAAACAAGAACTGCTGCTCTTTGTGCAGCTGCTGCTGCTTCTCGTTCTCCTGCTGCTGCTGCTGCTGCTGCTGCTTCTGCTGCTGCTGCTGCTGCGCGGTCGCTTGCGTTGCTGCAGGGGCCCCTGAGGCCCCCGCAGCCGTTTGAGGGTAAACCACAAACCCTTCTAGGATTTTCTGCTTCACAGCAGCAGCAGCAGCAGCAGCAGCAGCAGCAGAAGCAGCAGCAGCAGCAGCAGCACTTGCTGCTGCACAGCAGCAGCGCCAGCCGCTGCAGCATCATCTGCATCGTCATTGATAGCAGCAGCAGCAGCAGCAGCAGAAAAAACAGCAGCAACAGAAAGAAATAAAAGAGGAAGCTAAACAACAGCAGCAGCAGCAACTGCAGCAGCAGCAGCAGCAGCAGCAGCAGCAGCAGCAGCAGCAACAGCAGCAGCATCTGTCGCCCAAGATGGAGAACCTAAAACAATTCCTCCTAAACCACATCTGCAAATATGTAGACGGTAAACACACACAAACTAATTTAGGGTTTAGGGTTTAGGGTTTAGGGTTTAGGGTTTAGGGTTTAGGGTTCAGGGTTTAGGGTTTAGGGGGGTTCACTTGGGTAGGCACCATAAACCCTAAACCCTAAACCCTTACTATAAACCCTAAACCCTAAGCCCTCACTATAAACCCTAAACCCTAAACCCTCAGTATAAACCCTAAACCCTAAACCCTTATCCACAGGGTTGTGTAAACCCTTTTGTGTGTTTTTGTCTCTGTTTGCCTCTATTCATCTTGCACTGTCTCCTTTTGTTTTTTTCTTTTTCTCTCTTTCTGTTTTTTTCTTTTTCTCTCTTTTTGTTTTTTTTCTTTTTCTGTTTAATTTATTAATATTTATATTTATTTATATTTATTTATATTTGTTTATATTTATTTATATTTATAAATGTTTATAAATATTTATATTTATATTTATTTATAAATATTTATATTTATATTTATTTATATTTATATTTACTTATTAACACTTATTTATCTTATTAATATTAA